CCGCCATCGTTTCGCGTGTCCAGTCACGGGCATGTTCTTCATCGAAGGTGTGCCAATGCCCCACGGCGACTGCATCCATCACCGATGCGCGGCTAGGAATCACGCGAATCATCATCAAAGACGGTGACCGACATACCGTTGGATTCGCACAAGTGTTGCATGAACTTGGACTGAACGGCATGCAGAGTTCTCCTCCCATGCCCGACACAGTCCTACGCTACGTCGCATCGGACGCCGCAACGAAAGCTACCATGGAAGCAGCTCCTCGGCGACCACCTGCATGATACCTTTCCGACCTCTTTAACACGCACACGTGACATCTATATACAGTCCGCGCCACTCAAATAGGACAATTAGTATTTTCATGATAACTTTGCCATTTTTGCTCCAAATTGCGTCAAATTGGCACCAAAATCACCGTATTGATGAGCTCTATCGAATGACACTTGTTTCAGGGCCAATGGAGCTGGAGTAATCGTGAAAAATTGAAATTTGAGTGCGACAGTCAAATAAGAACAAGTCATGAACATGTGCAAATAAGCATTGATTGATCGAGCAAAACAATCCTAGTACTTCGTCTTGCCCCCATTGGCGGCCACATCCTGAATGCAACGCTTCGGCATGGACTTGATCAACTTCTTCAGGTACGAACGCTCGATACTGGACCAAACAGCAGTGATCGCCGCTCGGAGGTCTTGTACGGACTGAAACTGTCGCCCGTTTTCATAGATCTTGCGAGCAAGCACGCCCCAGACATTCTCAATTGGGTTCAAGTCCGGCGACAGTGCTGGGTGTTTGAAGAGCTTAACATCTTCAGCCGCCAGAAAGTCCTTGACCTTCTGGGCCGTGTGGATGCTGGCGTTGTCTTGCATGAAGACGAACGATTCTCCATAGTGGCGACGCCCGAACGGCAAAAGGTGCGTACGCAGTGTCTCAATGTACTTGTCGCTGTTCTGACGACCTTGAAGGAACGCCAAATCAGTGCGGCCACGGCGCAAAAAGCCACCCCAAACCATGACGCTGCCGCCGCCGGAGCTTCTGGTAAAAACGAGTCCTTCTCACGGCGCAAGTCGTGCCAGTAGAATTGGAATCTATCTGGTCCGTCGAGATCGAATTTCTTCTCGTCGGACCAGACGATTCGGCTCCACTTGGGCAGCTTGGTGATGTGCTTGGCGGCGTACTCCAGGCGGGCGACTCTATGTCGTGGTTGCAGGTTTTGCTGGTGCTTGCGCTTGGTGTAGCGAACATGACGTGTACTTATTTGACTGTCGCGCCCAAATCTTGGGTTTCCCGCGATAACTCCAGCTCCATTGGCCCTGAAACAGGCAGCAATCGATAGAACCAATCAATGCGGTGATTTCGGTGCTAATTTGACGCAATTTGGAGCAAAAATGGCAAAGTTATACTAATTGTCCTATTTGAGTGGCGCGGACTGTAGATAGTGGAATGTAAGGGCCTGGTCGGTGAAGGCTTTTGTGCAAGCCTGGCTTGTACAAAACGCATTTGATTGGCGAAACTATCCGTAATCCGAA